ACAATGGGGCCCAATTTCTGTCCAATATTCTTGGCTAGATTACAAAAAGAAAATGCAAGGTGTGGGTTCTAAACCAGAATGCATGTCTAGAATTATTGTAATGGAGAGGAATTCATGAACACCCATATTTTTGACCTACAGCAAACTTCTTGAATTCTTAAGAAAGCTGCCTCGCTAGTACGCAGCATTTGAGTCTGGGTAGTAGGACAGCTTCTATCCAATCAAATTAGTAAGGGAAAATGAAGTATTAGGTAGATGGCTTTCTTTTTAATATTATGATTCATCTGATTTTTTGTGACTTGTGAACCTACTTGGTTTATCTTCCAAAGAATCAACTAATTATATAGTGAATCCAATATGTTAAATTTCCAGGTAGTCTTATGGGACTGAATTCCATTGGTGAGTCTTCATGATACTTTCCATAATTCCAAATCCGTCTGCAGAATTTTTCTCAAAAACCATAGCCACGAATGGACTGGATCACTAGCTTAATCTGAATGACCTACTTCATCTGTAGGTTATAAGGTCATTTGCACTGAAGGAATGAGACTGAAGTGATACCAGTTGGTTGGCGACAGGAAGGTCTTGTCATTTGTGGCATACAGAGAGCAGGTGCTCTACGAAATGGTCTCTGAGTCTTTGCTTGGTCTCACTGATGTAGAGGAGGCCACAACGGGAGCAGCGGTTACCCCACCAACCTCCACATCCAGCATATCATTCTCCACCACTTCCGCCACCTACAATCCGACCCCATAACCAGAGACGTTTCCCTCCCCAACCCTATTGCTCGTAGGGACCATCTCTCCATGACTCCCTCGTCCGCTTCACACTCTCCTTTAACCCCACCACACCCAGCACCTTTCCCTGCAACCGCAGGAAGTGCTACACCTGCCCCTACACCTTCCCTCTCACCTTCATTGAAACCACAAAACAAACATTTCACATCAGACAGAGGTTCACCTGCGCATCTGTCAACTTGGTCTACTGTATCCACTGCTCCCGATGTGGCCTCCTCTAACATCAGTGAGACCAAGTGTAGACTCGGAGACCGTTTTGTCGAGCATCTGTGCTCTGTACGTGACAAACAACACCTTTGGTTGACAGCCATTTTAACTCCCTTTCCCACTCCCTGGGTGACATGTCCATTCTGGGCCGCCTCCAGTGTCACAATGATACCACCCACAAACTTAAGGAGCAACACCTCATATTCTGTCTCAGGAGCCTACAGCCCTATGGCCTGAACATAGAATTCACTAGTTTTAAAATCTCCCCATCCCTCCTTGACCTGAGACAACATGTCCAACTTCTCTCCCATCTATCCGCTCCTCCCACTTCACTGACCAATCCCCACCACTGCCTACCTGCACTCACCTACCACCATCCCACCTACCTTTCCTCAGCCCCACCCCTCCTCTCTCTATTTATTTCTTAGCTCCCTTCCCCCTCCCCCATTTCTGAAGAAGGGTCCCGACCCGAAACGTCAACTTTCCTACTCCTCTGATGCTGCCTGGCCTGCTGTGTTCCTCCAGCTCCATGCTGTGTTGTCTCTGTCTCCAGCACCTGCAGTTCTTGCTATCTTTGAAGCCAGGGATGTTCCCATTTGTCTGTTGTCCATTTGCTCCTGGGTGGTCGAGTTTACAGGCTTAGAAAGTGCTGCAGAAGGAGCCTTGATGAATTTCAGCACTATACTTTGTGAATGGTACATACTGCTTCCACTGAGACCTGATGGGAGTGAATCAATGTTTAAGTGTCGATGGGATGCCAATCAAGTGGGCTGCTTTGATCCAAATGACGTGGCATGTTATTGGAGTTACACTCATCTAGGCAAGTGGAGAGTATTCTATCACATTTGTGTCTTACACCTTGTGGATTGTGGACAGGTTTGGGGAATCAACTGCAGAATTCTCAATCTGTGATCCGCCCTCATAATCACTACATTTATTACTCAGTATTCATTACTAAAAATATAATAGAATATCTATGTCAATGAAATTTATTGAAGCTGAAAATATCAATGGAATATTATGTGGAAAAATGTGAATTTCTCCATTTTGGTGGGAAGAATAACAAACAAGAATATCATCCAATTGGTGAGACATTGCAGAGGGATCTCTGTCCTGGTGTAGGAATTGTAAAAGGTTAGTATGCAGGAGCAACAAATAATGAGCTAAGTTAATACAATGTTTTCATTTATTGCAAAGAGAACTGAATATAAAATAAATGCTTTTAGTATACAAGACATTAATGAGGCTACATCTGGAATGCTGTATACAGTAATGATCTTACTTATGGAAGGATGCAAATATATTAGAATCAGTTCAGAGAAGGTTCACCAGACCAGTATATGGAATGAGTGAGTTGTTTTGGCAGGAAAGGTTAGACAGGCTAGCCTTAAATCTGTCAGGATTTAGAATTTAGAATGGACAGTTTATTTTCAATATTTCTATTTTTTCAATACAAAATGAACTACTGTTTTACACAGCATGATTTACAAGCATACAAAAGGCATGAAAATTTGTGCTAACGGGTATGTTTCTGGAAAGAGTATTAAGGAGCTTTCCTGTAGCCACTTCTGCTGACATTAAGTTTGCAAGTGTGGGTTCAAGAAAGGGGCCAAAGTAAGGGGAATTTGCTGTGCATTTGTTTTATCCTCATATGCTCAAGATTCTTTTTATTTCCCCACATTTTTTTATGGGATACATGCGTCAACAGTGAGGACAACATTTGTTGTTTGTCTTTAATTGCCCTTAGAACTGAGTGATTGCTGAATCATGTCGGAGGACAGTGAAAGGTTTGCTAATGAAAATGGGTCTGAAGTGATACATAGGCTAGACCAGGTAAGATTTCTTGGCCTAAAGCAAATTAGTGAACCAGATGGGTTTTTCCGGTGATCAATAGCAGCTTCATAGTCACCATCACTGAAATGAGCTTTTAATTCCAGAATTATTAATTCAAATTAAATTCCACCAGCTGTCATTACAGGATTTGAACCAGTGTCCCCAGAATATTAGCCCGGGCCTTGGATGGTGACTTACCACTACGGCACTGTCTCCAATGTACGACATGTCCAGTAAAAGTCAGTCAGTCCATATAGGTTGCTTGGCACCTTGATGCCTTCCCCCAGCCACTCATTGCAGGGTCCAAGTGGAAAAGGGAAGTTGTTAATTGGGAGACTACTTTTTTGAACTGCTTCTAAGTCTGGCCAAGGTGACCATGAATGAGACCAGACAGCAACGACCGGTGGGGGGTTGGTGGTTTAATCTGACCACCTGCCTCCTTCTTGAGGCTACATCTGTGTGACACTGGAGAAGGAGCACAGGGTGACTGCTGATACTATTCAGGTTCTATATGACCAATGGGCACAACAGCTTTTGGGAGGTGGGGCAGGTGGAATTTGTGAGTGTTTTATCAATCTTGTGTATGTTATTTTAAATTGTTTAAGTTACTATGTTTCCTTTAATGGTTTGAGATTGACTTAATGGAAAACCTTTATGTTCCTTCAAAAAGGAAGGGTCACTTGTAATAAAATAAAAATACACTTTATCTTCACTTATCTTAAAGGATCCAGTTACTAAACCTGGCCTGAATATACAGGTGAGACTCACATCCACTCTTACTGATGTGAGATACGCAAACAAAGTGGGTCCAACTGAGGACGAGGATCACTGCAACTCCAAACATGTGGAATCCTCTTACACTGATCACACTGTGCAGGTCAGAATTCACATGACACCAAATTATAGTACAACAGGTTTATTTGGAATCACACAAGCTTTCAGAGTGCAGCCCCTTTGTTGGACTATGACCTGGTGTTGTGTGAATTCTAACTTTGTCCACCCCAGTCCAACACTGGCAGCTCCGCATCATCACACCGTAGAGGTAAGTGATTCATTCACACTATGATATACAGAAAGCATCAGCAGGAGCCTAGGGTTAGTTTTCAGCTGTTATCTCGGATTCCTACAGAAGTTATGATGGGTGTTCACTAGAATGGCCACAGCTTTGCAACACCGAATCTTTTGCAACTATTGCCACACGGGAAAGGGTAAAATTACGTACATAACTCCACCAATTTCAATTAAACTGCACAATGAAGAAATAATGAAAACTGAATGTGCCATTTTGTGTAGAAATAAACAATTTACAGCTTTGGCATTAGCAACAAGGAAATATTTATGTTACAACTAAATGTGAAATGAAATCTTTTGATTCATTAAGAAGTATCATAATTAGTTACAACCAGCAAAAACACTGATGACACATGAAGGAAAACATAAAGGCAAGAAAGGACCCATGTCACATTTACAAAGGACAGGACACACCACAAATTTGAACCATCACAAATGCATATGGATCAATATATTCAGCTCTCTAATTAGGAAATACACCACAAGCTTGAGCAAATAAATATTATGCTTTGACACAGCTGGATAAGAGGGAAAGAATATGATTTGTGCTTTAAATCAGATTCTTCAATATATTATTTTACAGGTCTACCATTTGTTAAATAAGTGAATATGATGCACTTTTAGGGTTGAAAATTGATACAACTTGTAAGCTATTGTGATAAAGCCCATTTTTAACTTATGTTTTTAAAAGGACAGCAGCAGTACAGGTATTCAAAACATTGTATGCTAGATGCAAGTAGACTGAAGTTGGACTAAGACTATACCTTAGTCCATGTAACGTATCAAAATGCTACTTGTCTAGACTTGTCAAAACTGAGAATATTATGAACAAACTGATGTCCCTCAAAATCAATTGAAAGAATGAGTCCCTCTGGTAACATGATTTGAAAGTAATTAACACAGAATGGGATGGATGTTAATAATGATACAGTTAGGCAAACATTAGTTAGATATTACATCATTAACTGAATTAATCATATTTAAGGAAGAGTTTTCCATCTTAAATTGCGTTTCATAACATTGTCCTCATACATTCAGTTCACATGACTGAATGACCACATGCCAACCTGATGTTGGCATGATGCTGCCCACCTGTGATGTCACAGTGAGGAGGGGTTTTCCTTCTCCAGACTCCTCCCTCGGTATCTCCTTCATCACCATGGTAACACCCTTATCTGCAGCCCTAGCGCCTTTCCCCTACAACAGTGAAATCAACAATGACTTGTGTCAAAAGTCTTTAAGCTATTACTGTTCAATTTACAACTTTTCTTTTCAATACATGTTTGTTTTTGTCAAACGAACACTTTTATAACATTCTTAGAATTGAAATAAACTTTAAGGTTTAAATTGGTAACAAAAACAGTATTTTGTAACCAAAGCATGAAGTGAACAATGGAAACATCCAAAAACATTGTCACACCATCACTAATATTCACCATGGAACTGCTTGCCACAGATAATTCAATCACAAAAAAAGGATCCATTGGCCCACAGGCCAGAAGAAACATTGTGGATAAAGACTGTATGGCACACAAATTGCAAGGAAATATTAGGGAACATTCTAACTATGGTGCTGTACAGACATTTCTAAAAAATAAATTGTATGTATTTTGCTTCCAAGAAAATAAAGTTATTAATTTTCTTACCATGTTTATCAAATGCAGACAGTAACAAAATTCCCTTTCTGTTTTTCATTATTTACCATGCTTCAGGGCTCACAATTATTTTCTTCCTTTAAAATTTTAATGGAGATTTTCTTTAAAATGCATATTTAATATGATTTATAGAAAAATTAACAGGTTCCTGTGCACACAAGATTTTGAAATTTACAGAATTTATGGTCTAAAACAGACTTTCTTTTATTTCCCACTATTTTTTCCTCATTATTTTTCTTGGCACAATAGTAATTGAGATACAACTGGATAAAATTGAGGACATTAGTCAGAAGAATATCTAAGGCTGGGAGATTAAACAATCTGAAATAACATCAGTAAGCAGCTATTCTGGGTTTCATATTTGACTTTGTGTGTTAGCTCATTTCACTCAGCAAGGCACAGTAATTTCCTTGTTCATGTTTAAATAGAAACTTTTTTAAAATCACTCTTAAGCCAAGAATACAAAAATATATGTTTGTGTTCAAGGTAATCATTTGTGTTCTTAAAATGGCAATTTTAGATGAGACTCTTTAAAGATAGATTTTGAAATCTTTAAAATGTATATACTTATTAATCACTTGAAAAAATAAGAATAAAACATAAAACGTGCAACCAGTAAATCTGTATTTTTATGTGCTGATCTATGGTATTAGCCTCACAGCATAGAAAGAGCAACTTCACATAACTATGCTGAGCATATAATTTAGATCCAAGCAGCCAAATTGCTGAATCCTGCAGTTATATTGTGTGCCTACAGTTTACATTAAATGAAGCTGTCCTATTGGACTACGATTACAATGGTTTTACCGTTTCAATTCCATTGACAAAAATGTCACACAAAATGCCATCACTATTCAGTTGCCATGACACAGAACAACAGTTTTGTAGCTATATTTTTCTACGGTTGTAATCTTTCAGAATTCAGGATGAAATTAATGTCAGTGAAATAGCTAAGCTGTATACTGCTTACTACTTACAAAATATTTTTTCCTGTATTTTTATTTTTCTATTTAAGCAACAGGTCTTTTTTACAGTTGATCAGGGATTGCAATTTGGTTTGAAGCAAAAACAATGGCCTGCCAACTTTCCACAGACATATCACTTCCTTGATCACTTAGATTCAGATGGTAGTTACCATAATTCGTCATGTTTATCCATGTCACAATGCACAAAATGTAACACAAGGCCAGGATTTGCCATTTTTTCTTCTAACTTGAGGGGTAGATGTCTTTAACAATGAGATACTCCTCCAAGCCCACCAACAAGAAAGTTCACCTGATCAAATGCCAACTTTGCACTTAAGTGACCTGATGGAGAGCTATCAGATCATGTGACCATGACATCCTATTCTCACCTTTAGCTGCTCACTAATTGGATGCAGGCAGCCATTTTGAGGAGCAGCACCACCTTGCATGCTCAGGATGCTGACTGACAGTAGTTCAGAATCCCAGTCTCCTGGTCTTCAAAGTGACTTTTGGTGTTGGGGTTGAGGTTGGAGTCATAGAGAGTTGCATTCACAGGGATCAGCCATCCATCTGTGTTCGACTTGGGGGAAGATCAAGGCCCCATTCCCAACATGGCAGACAGGCCATCCCAGTATATCAATCAGGAAGGATGCTGTATTTCTCACCGGCCGGTAACACAGATAATCAGATGAGTAGTGGATCATTACACTTAAGCGTCCATTAATTAACTGCTGAATGGCCTTTATTGGCAGCTCATTTGAAAGAACAACTTTGGCCATTCCTGCCATCTTCCTCGCCACTTATTGAGGGTGGGGGATTTCCGTCTTTGGGTCTTCATCTCCAAGAGATAAAAATTGACTGGATAGTGCTAATGGGTGGCAAGATAAGGGACACAGATTCTGACATGTAACAAAACATCCATTGTTACCTTTAGGGGAATCTTTTGGACTTTTTGTTTAAAACACTGCACATGAATGGACATTTTCAAAGATGGATCCTAAATATATTTGAGGGAATTAACAGCTTCAGTTTAATTAGAAATTAGCTCTTATTTTTGATGCTCATATTGACAATGTTAAGTGTTTCTATTGACTTCTTTTCCAGGAATGTTTTGTAAAACTGACACAACTGGCCAAAGCAAAAACTGATGATCAGCATATCAACTCCAATTCCTTTTACATTTGTAGTGAGCTGCTCCAATTACCTGCTCTGGTTAATACCATAAACAACTGGGCTTCATTGACAAGTAAAATATGTATATTATGTACAAAGATATTATATACAGTTCATCACTACTTTCCCAAGGGCAATTAAGGGTGAACAGTAAACGTTGGCATAGCTGGCATGCCCACATCTCATGCATGACTTTTTTTTAATAAAAGTTATGATGCTATATATTAAAAACTGGGATAATTACTTTTCAATGGGCATTTCATTGTAAAATAGACTTAAAACAAGATGGCATCTACTGAAAATAATTTTAATAATAAGAGAATTATTTATTATTGAATGCCACTTACGCAGATATGGTTCACTAAAATATGAAATTAGGTTTAATTACTTGACTACATCTCTGAAACAATGGGTTTGATCTTAACGCTGGGTTGAATTTTAATGAATGAATAGCTAATTTCAGAATTACATTTCATACCATCACACAAATGAGTGACCATTATCGAAAGAATCCCACACCCAAATTTCTTGATTACTATTTATGAATGAAGTAATAGTTTCTTGAACTATTGGCCTAAAAGAATTTACATAAAATCAAAAGAAACATACACTGAATCTTAGGTTTAGATTCTAGATGCAAGTTTTCTTGAGTTTCATGGATGGATTGCCTGCCCAAGGCGTAGCACATTTTTCTCACTGTATATTACCAAACTCACCTCATTAACTGCAAATCTTGACCCCCTACTGTCTCTCACATCTAATTCTAGCCCCATCTTACCAAGTGCTGTTGCCAGAACAACTTTCCACTGCCAGAATATCGTAGTATTAACGGTCTTGCCTTCCAACCGTGCATCTTTAAAAACCATTGTACCCTGGGTGTGTCTCTCAGATCTAGTTATATTGATGAGTGGGTCCCTATGCTTGGCATTCTGATAAGGAGTGCCTTTGCCCTGCTAACCTTGGGGGCAGTCAGGGTCTGAGGTTATGAAGCAAACAGGCTCCTGCATCTAGGAGCATTGGCTGGAGGAATACCAACACCTAGGATTATTGGCTTGGCAGCAAATGTAGGAAGAAACCAGAGTTCTGTTTTTGTTGTCAGAAATAATGGAAATCTTGGCGCAAATAATGGAGTGGGATGGTGGGAGAGAATGTTAAAGGCAGCTTTGAACTGGAGCACTGGAGAATCTGTACTGACTGTCCCCTGATGGTTGCAGACAAATCAACACTCCACATACCATAATCTCAGACTTGCTGCCCAGTATCAAGATAAATATAACAAATTCTTTAATATTGTATTTGGTGACCGTATACTTATTTAGTGACAAACACAGTGGTAATTAATTCCAATCTTTACAATTAGCTAACTCAGTTGAAGGGTTAACTACTAAAGGACTCAAAAAATTTTATAGGGAATGTAATTAGCCTGTTGCTTAACTGAAAATTGAATGGTTTGCATTTTATGATATTGTCTCCTCAGAAATAAGACTAAAAAAAATGTAAGATTCAATCCTGTTTATCAGCTAATTTTCAGTTTCATCAAGTGTCATTTCTCTCTAAGACATTGTGAGTTCTCACTGCACCTTACCAAACATATCTCAGTAACAACTTACCCGAGCCATGAGGCTCCTCTCATCTGATTATAGCCCTATCTTACTACTCAAGGTGCCACTGCTGGGACATGCCAGAATGGATTGGCATCTTCAAATAATGGAATCCCTAAAGTGTGAAAGCAAGCTGTTCAACCCATCGAGTCCACATTGCCCCTCTGAAGAGCATCCCACCCACACCCAGCCCCTACCCATAACCCTACATTTCCCATGGCTAATCCACCGAGCCTGTACATCTCTAGACTGTGGGAGGAAACTTGAGCACCTTCAGGAAACCCATGCAGACACTGGGAGAATGTGCAAACTCCACACAGACAGACAATCACCTGAGGCTGGTATCGAACCTTAGTCCCTGGCACTGTGAAGCAGTAGTGCTAAGCATTGAGCTGCCATGTCATCCTGGTGCATCACTGTCTGTGCACCCAAATAAGCACTTTTAGACTCGAGCTGCTCTGCAAGGTTCCTGAAATTTGCCCTGGATATGGCGGGAAGGGGAAACTGGTGCCTTGCTTTCTGGGCAGAAGCCTGGAGATTTTGATGGACAGGGTGCACAGCAATACCCCCTCATTATTTTTTTGGTGTGGATATCTTCAAGGTCTGTGCACGGAACTGCCGGAAGTCAGTGCATCGGCATGCTAATCGGCAAGTGCAGACCCTCCGAAGAAGCTGAGAGAAGCTGCTGTGCAGCCTTGAGGGAACACTGGTGCTGAGGCTGGACCGCCCCTTCTCCCAAGACCAGTAGAAGAGGCCATGATATTAGATTAAACCAACCCGGT